ACCACGTCTCGGTGATACCAATGATATCATATGACCTGGAAGCTTGGCGATCTTTCAGTTCAGCCAGTTTATTAAAAAGACCATGAGCATTCGTATACAAGCAATCCACTTTCTCGGTCTCTAGGAGCCCACAGACGGCTGAAGGGGTCAAGTGTGGGTGAATGCCGACCGATGGGAGGGCGGTAGTTACTCGTTTTTTGGTAGAATAATGATACCTCGTCTGTAACTTGAACAATGAACAATGATTTATCACGGGTAAGATAGCATGTGTTTGACAAGTCCCGTAGGATGGTTGAAGTAATAACTAAAATTTGAAGGATCATCGAATAAGTAAATCGTTATTCTAAGCGTCCACCGAGTTAAATGCACTACTACATAACGATAGTTTGAGGTGAGAATGGTATGTGCACACGCAAATAGTATAGAGCTGTCATAGTTCAGTAAATGCGTGAGAAATAATAAAGGAAACGACAATGCCCACTCGCATGTTCCTTCATCTGACAGATGTGGTATGTTAAGCCAGTTTAGCTACATCCAAACTAATCACATAGACACTTCTGCATGTATCCTCACCGCCACGTTGCGGAGAGGACCGTTAAGCACGTGGTTAGGTTTGCGTTGTTTCGTGCTCCAAATGGAACGGACTATTTCAAGTAATGCAAGCTTGAAAGCGTTGCATCAAGGCTTTTTTTGAAAAACGTTAATGTAGGAGCAAGGATAAAGTGAGTCGAAAGGGAATTCCAGGGACAGGACACACGGAGGGAGAAAACGTTTAGTCGACTGTAGTACGTAGCCAGTTTGACCTGCTGACCTCTCAGGTTGGTATTTTGGCTCAGCTGCAACAGATTACGACATGGGTTAGTTGGGTTCGCCTCGCTGACGTCACTATTCACCAGTGTACAATCTCAGGGTTTGCAGTCTACGTTGGTAGGAGAGATGAAACAATCCTCTAACTAGTTTGGTCGCTCTACGTTGTGGAGCTTCAATTGCATCGACGTCGCACTTACGCCAGGGACTCCAGGCCTGAATCGCATATTCCAAGTGAGGTCAAGGTGCGTCCCAATCCTCGTTTAGACCTACCTCAGAGTCGATTAAAGCAGCAGTCAAGTTACGCTTCTGTACATTCGTCGGTATGCTTGCTGCTTCAAGTGCTCTAATATTTGAGCTGTACAAAGTTTCTGCGACCTTTAACAGAAGTTCAGAAGGAAGACGTTTCCGGTTTCTCCGCCATCGATCCAAAACATCCGTTGCTTGTTGCTCTGACTGAATCATAAGTTGTAGGATTCTAGGCCCGCATACTCTATAATTTGATGAAAGGGGTATCATGGTGAGCGATAGCGATATAATATTATCCAAAGAAAGTGTTTACGAATGAACCGACGCTGTTCTAAATCGTGCTTTCCGGTCTCTTGAACATCGTTAGACGGATGTTCTGGCACGCCATTTATGGAGGTTGTGTTTAGGCGGTCTTGCTTGCTGTGCCCCTCTTCGGTGTTGCTTTTTGATTGTCGCGCGCTCCAAGGGACATCAGGATAAAGGCGTATCCCACAGGATCCGTGTTTTAGCGCGCTTGCAGAGAGCAAAACGTTTTCTACGTCGGTGGAGGATTCTAGTGTTACTCGAATAAGTCTGGGTTCTTTAAAGTTTGATGAGGTCGGATGACAAGTAATTCGTAACAAGTTTATGAGCTTGGCTTGGACACTCATCTGCACGCACAATGAGTTCCATTGGTCTTGGTCGTCTGATAACTTATCCCGCAATGTGATGACGGTAAATTCAGGGACATTTGAGCACACAACAGTCCGGGAAGCATTATTGGATCCCTTTTTCGTTCATCTACAAGGTAGGGTGTTCATTTGCCCTGACCTACTGACAAGTGTTGATTGCTAGCTGTTTGTCCTTTTATTCGCGTTAACGCTGTTTACAACAGAAGAGGACGCAACGGCGGCCTCTCGGTGGACCCTTGCAGCAATCTCTGCATATGTAACTGATGTTCTGGGGCGCTTTGTCTCGATAAGAGACATTTGAGCCACAGGTACCGAGGGTTGATGTTCGGCAGCTTCATCCTTGTTAATGTTAAATATCAGATTTAGTGGAGTTCGCTTAACCAGTCGTTTCGAGTGGTGCCTGATTTTCGTTGCCTTGGGTACTGTTTGCCTGTCGTATGTAGGGCCATTTTTCGACGGCGTTCTACCAAACTTGAAGAAGACAACGGAGATGGGGATGTGGCTGATTGCCGTTCAGGGAAGCGGATTGTGCGGCATTCCGTTGCTTAGAAGCCGCTACGCTTCCCTGACGCATACTCGCTCCAATTGAAGTAATCTTCTCATTTATCATTTGCTCGGATTCTGCGGTTAACCTGTCGCACTTCTGATCCAGTATAAGCAAACACTTAACAAGTGGGATGGTGGCGCACGCAGTACAGAACTAAAGTACATCTTGTGAGCTATTTCGCTCTCGTACATATTGTTGGGACACGTTTGCACATTTCGGATGACAGCACTCCAAACAGTGCTAGCAAGCCAAGCCGATTTTAAACACTCGGTGACATTCTCCTAACCCGCAAATGCCTTTCGCTTGGAGCCTTTTCGGATCCGCATTTCTGCCATCCAACGTAGTGTCGTTACCTGACCCAGTGGGTTGGTTGGCGTTCTGTACATTTCCAGCTTTAAGAGTGGTGCACATCGGCCAGGCGAGCGAGGTGGTTGGAAGGTCAATGTAATCTGTCTGCTAGCTGGGTTCAGCAAGACGCATCCGTCGTTGAACTTCACCAGCGAAACTGAACGCGACAGTAAACTAGCTTTCCTGGACCTTTTGCTGAAGTGACGGGAAGATGGTTCACTTGAGAGGAGGGTTTTCCATAAAGTTATGTGGGCAGGCCAATACACGCACTTTCTAAGTTTCGTACCTGTGAAATACAAAAGGAAGTTAGGTCGCTACCTGTATCATTGTGCTGCCAAAATTTGTAGCCCGGAAACACCGGAAGAAGAGAATGATGGCATCCTTGTAACGCCGCAAGAGAATGGTCACCTCATTCCGTTCAGCAGAAAGCACGCCACTGTCTGTATGCGCCCGAACACTGTCATCACTCCTCCCAGGAGGGATGTGTTCCTCGCCGTGCCGTTCTAATGCTGTGTCGCCTCCGAGTTGCTCAACAGAAGACTCTCGACTGCAGTAGCCAAGGCCTGTCCGGCTGTATACCCAAGTGTTGTGGCACAAACTACCCCGCTTATCACCCAACACCTCAAAAACAGACTCCCAGTCCAGTCCAAGTCGCTTATTCTATATCAGTTCACTTACACATGGGGTGCAAGGTACCTTGGACATACGACCAGACGTCTGTCAAAACAGATCGCTGAGGATTGCCCGGGGTAATTAAGAAGGGGCGTGGTCGGACGATTTGACAGTGACATCAAGGAGCCCTTGTTCCAAGTTGGACACGAAATCCGATTAGCCTACTCATTCAAAGCTTTCTACATTGTGCCCAACATGTATTGCAAAATGGTAAGAAAACGCCTCCTGAGGACAGCTGAGGCTATCACCATAAGTTATGACATCGGTTGTACAAACAAAAGACCCTCGTGCAAGCTGTTTTCTTGCCATGGTCAAACACCAACTCTTCAGCGTCAGACAATGGAGGCGACCAAGTTCGATCTTCTTCGCACCAATGGCTGCTGTAACATCTGCTTTCAGTTGTTCGGCAGAAATATCGATCGAATGTGGCAGCGTCGTTCAAATGCTCCCCAGTCACCTATTCTCAGTTGGGCCTTCATTGGCTTACTGCGTTGCGTTTTCTTTGCATTCTTAAAACTGTATCTGCCTGATGAGAATTATTGCAAAGCGATCGCTTCGCAACCTTGAGTGTATATATTGACTGTGTCGTCTATGGGCATTATTTACGAGTTGAATAAAAATTTTAGCCGTGAAAGGTAATGATACCAATATAACCAATGGCAAAGACAGATTTACGTCGGTTAGGCCTTGTGGATTACTGAAAGTGTGATGATCAAAGATGGAGCCAAGAGAAATGGAAAGGCTTAAAAGGTGGTCACAGCTGTATAAAGGTTGAGGATGTCTGATTTTAATATGAATCAATATCAGAAATCAGTTCAGGGTGAAGAATTCTTTTCGGTAAACTCTCATCGGACCCAAACGTTTACAAAACACTGATAGTGTGGGGTAAGCGTCAACTCGGGCTGGGATTTACTTCTGGACGGTTTGAAAGATCAAAATCGATAACTTGAGACAGAGATAGCGGTGTTAACCAAGTAAACTAAATACATATACATACATGCATGAATGTCTGATTTTGCCTATCGGCAGTATATAGGGTCAACTATGGACAATATACTTATCCGGGTACATAAACTTTAGCCTGACTTGGGTTGATATACCACTCGGTTTACACGGGACATGCTGTGTTAAATGTTTCGACCAGAAACCCCATCTGTCAGCATCCATCCATCCATTCCTTACACGATTTCCTAACGAGATGCATTTAAGCCTCTGCTATTTCGATATTCATTAACCCGGTGTTGTTCGGACACATTGTGGAGCTATGCATAGGATCTGTTTTCAGTTGGATCGCATGGGCTAGCGAGGCCGAAAGACCTTGACTAGACACTTTATTTCATGGCTCTTGTATTTTCTGTCTATGATGACCGACTTGCCTCTCAGGGCTCTATCATTAGTCGTTATGTCACATTACATATACCACGCCAATATTTGTCTGTGTACGCGTAATCTCAAAGACGGACTCACACAGGGTCATCCGGACTGAGTAGATTCCGACACTAAGAATCCAATGACCTAACTGGAATTGGGTGTCTATGGAACGTTAATTTGTCCGGATCGGTTTTGGCTTTAACGTACTCTACAAACTTGGGCATCCATCCTTCGTTCCGGTTGGTTCATATTCTGCCCCTAAGTTAAATGTTACAGCGCACCAAATGAATCAAATCCACAACCTTAAAGTACTCAGTTTTTCTACTATAACGTACCTCTTGCTGTTCACGCAGTGCTTCCATGGTGCTTTCGTCGTCTTCCACACCCACAGCGCAAAACTTCATGAGGCTGATTGTAAACCAAAGCAGTCCAACTGCACACAGACTATGGATTATGAGAGAAGTCTTCTTGCTCGATTTGACAAACATTTGTTCGAATTCTCGGCGGTTGAATGCACGACCTGTAATCAACCAAAAACATTCACTCTCTCATTATTTCAGAACAGGGATTTTATTGGACTTTTTAACTTCCGACTGTCTACGTGTTCTATCGACTGCATATCGTCTACACTTGTTGCCCCGTGAGTACGCGCTACATTACTCCTTGCTTCTGCTAATTCGCTGTCCAATTTTTATACCCGGTTTAAGTTACATTGGGTCCAGCGGTCTGCATTTTATCCACCGTTCCGTATTTGGCACGTATCTTATGTGTCATCGGTACCGACTAGTATCCGAAGTGTGCTCAACCGTGTGAAAGGGAACACAAAATACCATTCTATGTCGTACACAGGCGCCATGCGGAAAGTACCAGCTCGTGAGGCTAGCCATTGCCTTCTGCACAGTTCGTAACTGGCATGGCAGTAGAAGATTAGCCGGGCTATATCATAGTCAACTGTCAATCACGCAAATCCGTGGTTGGCACGCATGGCGGTGGCATTAGCTGCTGGCATCCTGATGTCATGGGGGCGGAATCTGGCAAGAGGCCGCTGGGAGGCGCACCACTAAGGAGACCCAGAAGGTCGAAACGCCGGCATCTGGTGCTTTTCCAGACTAACCTAAGCCTGCTGATTAGGAGTGACGATGCTAAAGTAGTTAAATTATACTAAAATCCTCACTACTACTCATCAGTAATATAAAATCTGTCTATAAAGCTTCTAAGTTCTATGACGTACATAGGCAATATGCGGAAAGTCCTAGCTCGTGAGGTTAGCCATACTCCTCTGCACAGTTCGTAACTGGCATAGCAGCGGAAGATGAGCCGGGCTATATTATAGTCAACTGTCAATCACGCAGGTCCGTGGCTGTCACCCATGGCGAAGTGGCACTAGCTGCTGGCATTCTGAAGTCATGGGGGCAGAAAAAGGCAGGGGTCCGCTGGGAGACTCACCGCTGCTGAGACCCAGATTGTTGAAACGCTGGCATCTGGTGCTTTTCCAGACTATACTAAGCCTGCTGATTAGGAGTGACGATGCTCAAGTATTTGAATTATACCAAAATTCTCACTACGACTCTTCAGTAAACTACAATTTGTAACCGCAGGCCAGCTGACGACAAATGTTGTGCTGACCAATGGAGTGTAAAGTCTAGCGAAACCTGCCGTTCAGTCACAGTATCCAATGAATCGTATTCTTAACCATGGGCTTCGTGCACTTAGTATGTCTGACATGTTATTACATACAATGTACGACACGTACATCAGCCTAACTAAAGCATACAGTACCCAATGTTGTGAAGATAGGGTTTTGAGGAAACACGGTTTTTTCCACACTATGCGAAACTTAAATGCTTATTTTCTATTGCCAACTGTGGCAATTTGTTTCACGTACGTAAATTCAGGTTCCCACCGTGTAGAACTGTTAGGGGCATTTAAACTCAAATGCTGTGCCCAAGTTAAACGACTAACGTTGGCAATAAAATCAGAGGTAATGCGACTGAATGGTTTCTACATTGAAACTGTGCTAGGTAATCACGAGTATCGTGACCGTTGGAGGCTTTTAAAGCAGCTGCGCTACAAAAGTTCCCTGAAGCGTCTTGAGAATGTGGATGTGGACAGACTCAACGCCGGCACTATTTGTGCCGGTCACTAACAGCGAACCGAGCTCCTGATGCGTCAACAAATACAATGCTGCTACACCAACACTCAGGGGTTGTACTCTAAGCTCTCGGAGCTGCGCCACCGACATGAAACAACAACTTGGGACCTCATAGCAGTCACTGAAACTTGGCTCTCAAACGACATACTTGATCCAGAGATTGAACTCAGTGAGATGTCAGTCATTCGAAATGATCGTCCATCTCGCGGGGGCGATGTTGCTCTCTACTATCGAGATTATCTGAAATGTGAGGCACTTACCGAAAATTCCCTTGTTATTCCCGACGCATTATTTTGCCGACTGCACCTAGCAGGTCGAGATGTTGGTTCACAGAAGAAGAGTGATGCTTGCCTCATAGGAGTTATTTATAGACCTCCGAACTCATCAGCAGACAGCGATAACATTCTGTTAAACGCCCTCCGCTATGCTGTTTCACAAAAGTACTCTCACTATCTTTTAATGGGTGACTGTAATGTTCTTTCAATAGCATCAGTGTCCCCTAATGGGTCATCATTTAAATCGAAACTCCTCGAATTCATGGATATGGCAGTTTTGTATAACCATGTGCATCGACCAACCAGACATCGCGGTTCAAACAAGCCATCACTCCTGGACCTTATCCTGACTAATGAAGAGTTGATGGTTGAGTCAGTAGCATACGATCCTCCACTGGGCCGTAGCGACCATTCAGTCCTAACATTCGGTTATGTATGTTATGCCAGTATTGTTGTTAAAGAAAGAGAGACTCAACGCACTATTACGGACTATTATAAGCTGCGCAGCTTAGCAGCAACCGTTGACTGGGACGTACAGACACCCAGCTCAGCGAATGACGCGTGTAATGAATTGAAAGACAAAATTAACTGGGTCATACAATCAGCATCGAAGGTTGTACCATTACGAGCATCGCGCCGGACCAATACGTAGATCCGGAGCAGAACACGTAAATGGATCAACAGAAGAGATGAAATCTGGAGGCGACATTTGCTAAGCCCATGTGATATCACATGGCAGGATTACAAAGTCATCAGAAACTACTGCACGTCACTCATTAGAGTCGATAAGTACGAATGGCAGGAGAATTTGGTGCTGAAATTTACGAGTAACACCAAACTGCTATACAGATTTGTGAATGGCAAAAGAAAGGTTAAGCCCGGAATACCACCACTCAGGACGGCCAGTGGCCTAACAACTACTGCTGTGGATGCCGCGAACGCTCTACTCATTGCAGTTTGGCTCGGTAGCTACAAATGTCATGGTACCTTCGCCCTATCAACTCCCAAACAATGTCGTTGGCTTATGCAGCGTCACCTTTACTCCAGCAGCTGTTGCAAACAAACTACAGTTTCTCCGGGAGTACAGAGCCCCTGGAATCGACATGATCTGCCCAAAAGTACTAAAAACCCTTGCTCCCACCATGGCAACACCACTTGCAACCTTTTTCCAGTGTCTGCTTAACTCCCATACACTCCCATCTGAGTGGAAAAATGGAATTATCACTCCAATATATAAAGGAGGTAAGCGCTCGGATCCTGCTAACTACCGACCTATTACTCTCCTTCCTGTTTTGTCAAAAGTTATGGAATCGGTAATCGCAGATGAACTGACGAGATACTTTGAAAGTCAACAGATAATTTCTAATGCCCAACATGGGATCCGACGCAGACGATCTTGTCTCACCAATTTGCTGATTACTCGGGACTTATGGACCAGGGCGGCTGATGAAGGAGTGCCCATAGATGTGATATACCTGGATTTTTCTAAAGCATTCGACAGGGTCAATCACTTCTTTCTCCTCCAAAAGCTTGCTGCCTACGGTATCAACGGTTCCTTACTCACCTGGTTGGAAGACTACTTACACGACAGAGCAATCAAGGTAAGAGTAGCCGACACCTATTCCGAAAGCCTTTACGTCTCCAGTGGTGTTCCACAAGGATCCGTCCTCGGCCCGCTACTATTTTTAGTCTACATTAATGACCTTCCAGCAGACATTCTCTCTCCAATGCAAATATTTGCAGACGATGCTAAAATATGGAGAGCAATTCGCTCAGCATCCGACCGTGCCTACCTCCATGAAGATCTGACCCAGATTAACGAATGGGCAGAAAAGAACCAGCTCCCACTGAACCCTGCAAAGTGCCATCTGCTGACGGTGCACAACAGTTTCGTCAACACATACCTTTTGGGGCAACACGTCATGCAACACGTGACTAGTGAACGCGACCTAGGTATAATCGTGCAAGAGAGTCTTGGAAATTCGCTCTAATATTCGAAAGCAGCAAATGTGGCGAACTTGAACTTGAGACTTTTGAGGCGAGCTCTCAGCACTTTTGAGCGACAGCTAGTACCATTGTTGAGTAACTCCTACATTCGTCCTCATGTTGAATATGCAATTCAGATCTGGTGTCCATGGTTAAAACAAGACATCCGCCTCTTGGAACAGCCCCAAAGAAGAGCCACAAAGGTAACGCGTGGACTATCCGGTCTAAGTTAATAACTGCGTCTTCGTGTACTCGGTGTGTTCTCATTAGAATACCGACGGCTTCGCGGAGATCTTACTCTCACATACCGGATATTAACCGAAGGCAAGCATCCAAGTACATCACTGTTGACTCTAGCCCTATACAAACAAAACCGAGGCAACCACCTGAAACTAATGACGCAACACTCTCGTTTGAATTGTAGAAAGTATTTTTTCTCACTTAGAATCTGTTCTCACTGGAATGCATTACCAAACTATGTGGTGAATGCACCAGACATGACGACATTCGAAAGACTCTTAGATTTTCATCTTAGTGATAAACGATACACAACACTTTGTTAAAGTGCAATGATTTAACCACTGATACTTTACGTTCCACGTTGGAACATTTTGATTATAATTTTCTTTTGCATATCCATCCTGTGGGTCTTGTAAAGTTATGCTTTTTATCCCATCATACACCATTGAACCATTGAATTTTCTTTCTTCCCAACAGGGGATGTAATTTCTGTCTTCCTTCTCCAACACTGGTCACGCAGTCACTCTTGATCACTTGGGTGATTACAGGACACTCAACAATTGTACAATACTAAGGATGCTGGACCTGATACTTAATCCCCAGTTGCTCTAAAAGAGTGTGCGTATTATCTCGCGGTACACTTAACAATTCTAAACAACAGCTGCTTTATGTGTGACAGAATGCCTGACAGTTGGATACCTGTAAAGATAACGCCCGTGCCAAAGGAGAAATCCCAACTCCATCGTTCGATTGCATGCACGTCGGTGATGCTGAAAGGCTGAGAAACTACATGTACATGGGAACATCAGGCACACCCAGGCAGACGATGTATGCCAGGCTGCAAGAGTGTGTCCCCTTAATCCAGTT